CCATCAGGTAGGTGTGACCCCTTTTCCCTGAAAAGGACGCGGGGCCTTAGGGTTGGGGGTGTTGCTCAGTGGTAGAACACATGCCTTACATGTGTGAGACCCGGATTTCATCCCCATATCACCCCCCCACACGCATGCACAGACACATACACACACACATGCACACACTCACACACGCACACACACTCACATATACTCACACTCACACACGCATACACACATTCACACACATACACTCACAACACTCCTCACACTCTCAGATACACACATAGATACACACACACTCACACTCACACACACAAATATAGACACACACACAGCCTATTCATCTTTGTTTGAGTGTGGACTGACTTCAATAACTAACCAACAGCTGAGAAGTCCATCCTTTTGTGTTTGTGTTTTCGGTTTGGGGCCACACCCCGCGGTGCTCGGGACATCCTCCTGCCCCTGTGCTCAGAGATGGCTCCTGGCGGGGTTAGGGGCCATATGTGGTGCCGGGTACTGAGTACTGAGCCCAGGTCAGCCGCATGCATGGTCAGTGCCCTCCTGCATGCCCTTTGCTGAGAAGGTGCCAGGCATGCGGAGAGGCCCCTGCGAGGCTCCAGACTCCAGCTGGGCTGCGGTCCCAACCCGCCTGTCCCTCCCTGGCCCCTGACTGCGAACACCTGGGCTGATGAGGCCCTAGGAAACATGCGTAAGGGTACTTCGAAGCTGCCGCCTTGGCCCGGGGGTGGGGTGGGGGGCGTGTGACTCTGAGGGAGCACTTGCCTGGTGCTACAAGCACCAGGTCCCAACTTTCATTCCCAGCACTGTGGAGCCTGCCCTGCACCCAACACATCTGGGTGCAGGCCTGGAGGCCCTCAGCAGTGACGTCCTGTTGCACCAACCAGCCCCGTGAGCACTGCTTGAGAAGACTCGTGAAAAACAGGAGTTTTTCGGTCTACCGTGTAAGTCCCTACCCATGGCCATTTATTTGGTGGTCAATAAGTGCTGGCCACGCTTGTCATCCATCATCTAAGACTGGAGCACTTATTTGCATTGGAAACAAGGAGAAACACTTCCCATCAATGCGAAGAACCTCGGTGAGAAAGATCACCTGTCCTGACGCAGCAGCGCCCAGTGCCAGTGATCAGGCAAGGAGACTGAGATCACCCAGCAATGGCCATCAGAAAAAGGCCCCAGGCCGGAGAGGAGCGAAGGTGTCTGCCTCCCGATTTGTCACTGGCCACGTCTGCTTAGCACCCAGCACACCTGGTCCCCTGAGCCCTTAGCAGAGAGCTGGAACACCCCGCGGTACCCAGGTTCACTCCCAGTGGGGCTCAGGCAGCCAGGTGGGATGCCGGGGTGGACCCTGGGTGGGCTGCGTGCACCGAGTGCCCTGCCCCCTCCCCCACATGAGGTCTCTCTGGCCGGCTGATACTTCCACACTGACATCTAACAGTTGGGGGGCTGCAGCAGGGTCCAAGGGACCCAACACCCCTGTTTTCCCGGGCAGAGCTTCTCCTGGGTCCTGCACCCTCTTTGGAGACACGAGAGCGACACAGACCCAGGCCTGGTGATGGACAGTGGCTCTTTATATATATATATATATATTTTAATATGGAAACTCTATTTATTTCATTTATTTATTTTAAAAATTTTTTCATTAGTGAAACACCATGAGGTACAGTTGTAGACTTACAAATTTTTGTGCTTGAGTTTGTTATACAATGATCGACCAGTGCCTATTCTCCATCACCAATGATCCTAGTATCCCTCCCATGCCCCCATCCTCTCCATCCCACCCCACCTCTGTGGCATGGCATTCCCTTTTATTCTCTCTCTCCTTTTGGGAGCTATGGTTTGCAAAAGAGGCATTGAGTGGCAATCACGTTCAATCTATAGTCTACTTTCAGCATGCTTCTCCCATCCTGGGAGGATCCTCCCAACACCCTTTACTTGGTGCTCCCTTCTCTATCCGAGCTCCCTTTCCCCCCAGCATGTGTGGCTCTCCTCCAAGCCACGGAATGAACCTCCTGGTACTTATCTCAGCTGTTCTTGGGTGTTAGTCTCCTATTTTGTTACTTCATGTTCCCCAGATGAATGCAATCTTTCTATGTCTGGGCAGTGGCTCTTGCTGCAACCCCACCCTGCTGGGAGCAGGCCCACCTCTGTGTCCTGTCCCCTCAGGCGTGCCGGACCTGCAGTCACCTCCCCTCAGGGCCTGCAGCTTCTCCTCATGAACCCCTCAGACTTCTGCGCCTGTGCGCCCTGAATGGCGTGGCTTGCCCATGGGGCTGCTGTCTGCCCTGCCCGTGGGGCTGGTGCCTCCCCCTCCACACCCTGCCCTTCTTGCTTGGGTGTGTGCTGCAACTCTCCTGGATACCCGATCTCTCCCAGCTCAGGGCTGGTTTTGCCTCACACCCCTTCTGGTGTTATAGAAACCTGATCAAGAAAGAGGGCCTAAGAGACAGTGTACTGGCCCTGCACGCGGCTAGCCCAGGTTCAATCCCCGGCATCCCATAAGGTCCCCCGAGCACTGTCAGAGGGATTCCTGAGTGCAGAGCCCAGGGGTAAGCCCTGAGCACCACTGGGGTGGCCCCAAAACAAAACAAATTAAATTAAATTAGAAGCAAAAGAAATCTGACCAAGAACCGGGCATTGCCTTGGGAGAGCTGAGGGGGAGGGGCTTAGTCACGCACCGGAACTCGACCTGGTCAACCCTGACATGGGCTGAGCCTCAGACACAGTCACACAGAGCTTCTGTAGGGCAGGTGTGTGACACACCGAGTCGCCCCACAGTGGCGGCTGGCCTGCCCGGTGGAGAGCACACGGAGCTCCAGAGACGCCACCGACAGTCTCTGTGGCCCGGCCGGTTCCTGCCCAGGCAAGGCTGGGGCTGTCTCTCCCCTCCCCTCCCCTCCTCTCCCTCCCCTTCTCTCCCTCCCCTCCCCTCCCCTCTCCTCTCTTCTCTTTTCTCTTGGCTGGGTCTGGCTCTCCTCTCCTCTCCTCTCCTCTCCTCTCCTCTCCTCTCCTCTCCTCTCCTCTTCTGCCATGACTATGATGGATGGCCCATCAGATCCCTGCCCAGCCCCCAGAAGGGTCACTCAGAGGCCCCACTTTGGTCTCCCGTCACTGGGATGCCCGCTCAGCCTCTCTGCGGGCCCCAGGCTGCTCCCGGTGCTGCCTGCGCCTCAGTCCTCCCGGCCCTGGGCCAGTCACAGCCTTGAGATGCCCAGGAAGGCGCCGACACCAGGAAACCCAGATTCAGGAGTTGCCCCTTCCCTGAGGCAGCCCACTCCCCAGCTCTTGGGGCTGGTGGTCCCCTGTCCCCTCCCTTCACACAGCGGATCTGGCCCCCGGCAGCCATGGAGAGCAGCAGTTTGGGGAACTAAAGTGTTACAGGGGAGGGGGCTCCCCAGGGGGCGGGGAGAACTGGGGTCCCCCAGGACCTGCGGTACCAGGAACACTTCTGCCCGCTTGCCTGGCTGAGGGGGCCGAGGGAGCTGGCACAAGGGGTGATCTATTCTCCTCCTCCTCCAAAGCTACAGGATGACTGGTGGGGGGCCAGGGGACCAGCGGGGACCCCTGGCTGGGCCCATCCCATCAGGGCGCGGGGGAGAGGAGCCGTTCCCCGCGACAACGCCTTCCTGGCTGGGAGCAGGAGCCGGCCGGATGTCACCGAGTGACCAAACCCTCCCGGGGGGGCACAGAGAGGGGCTGCACAGTGCTGAGGCCTGCCCGGAGCCTGTGCCGGGCCAGCATTTGGTGGCTGGTGCCTTCCCGCCAATAAGTTCTACTGGCAGTGTGGACAGGTCAGCCCAGAGCGTGTCCCGCTCGGATTCCCTGACCAGGGCCCAGCGGCCCCAGATGCCGCTGCTGCCCGGCTGTTTTGGGGTGCGTGGGTCACAGGGGAACTAGTACTGGCCGCCATGGCTCACAGGGTGGGAGCCGACTCGGGCCCAGCCCTGACCTCCACCCCCAGACCCCAGAGTTCCTTCCAGTCTTGTTTCTAGTCTCAGGACCAGGTGACGACAAAGAGGGTCCCTGGGGCAGGCGTCCCTGCCTGTGTCTCCACGTCACTGTCTCCCTGGCCCTGGCCGACTCTTAAACTGAGAGGGGCTTTGGCTCTCTGTCCACAGGGCCACGGAGGAGAAGGTGGCCCCCCAGGAGAAGGGTCTGGAGTTTGGCTCAGGAATATGCTGGAGGGGGGGATGGGGCAGAGGGCAGGGCGGTCTGCTGTGCACACGCGGACCCACCTTAGACCCCAGGCTCCTCCTACGGTTCTTTGTGCGCAGATGGCCAGAGTGATCCCTATGCGCAGAGGCAGGAGCAAGCCCTGAACTCAGCCTGGGATGCCCCCAGCCAGAACACACACACACACACACACACACACACACACACTCACGCACACACTCACACACACACACACTCACATTTACACATTCGCACACAGTCACACATACACTCACATTCACACACACACACTTCACAAACACACACTCACACATACTCACACACTCATACACACACACTCATACACACAAACTCACACTCACACACTCACAAACACACACATACACACACTCTTCACAAACACACACTCACACTCTCACACACACTCATACACACACAAACTCACACACACACACTCTCACACCCACATTCACACTTACACACACACACACACAAATACGACTTCATAATTTGTAGTTAAGCACAGTTTTGCGTTTTCCCCGTTTCTTTCACCCACTCGGACCCTCACCGAACGGAGCCACCTCCTTTTGCTGTGCGGGTCCGTGGACCCGCCTGGCTGGGGTCCGGCGGGTCTCCGCAGGGGCGGTGGGGGCGGCGTTTCGGGAGCTGCGAGTCTGGCTGCATTGCTCTCGGTGGCCACCAGGGTCCGCCCGCGGGCCGGCAGAGGGGGCGGGGCCTGTCCAAGGGCGGGGCCTGGCCGCGGGGCGGGGCCGATGCGTCTATAAAGGCGGCAGCGCGCGGCGGCCGCGGACCTTGTGCTCGTGCCCGTGCGCGTGCGCGTGCGCCCGTCCGTCACGAGTTGCCGCTGCTGCTGCGGTAGCCGCCCGCCCGTCCGCCCGCCGCGCCCCCCGCGCCCCCCGCGATGCTGGCCCTGCGCCGCGCCCCCCGCCTGCTGCGCCTGCTCCCGGCCCGCACCTGCGGCGCCCGCGCGGCCTCGGCGCCCGGGAACCCGCTGGTCTACCTGGACGTGGGCGCCGACGGGCAGCCGCTCGGCCGCGTGGTGCTGGAGGTGAGCCCAAGGTCACGGCCCGCCGGGTCCGCCGAGCGGGGCTCCTCCTCCTGGGGGCGCCGGGTAGGCGGGGGGCGGCCGCCCGGGCCTCAGTTTCCCGTCTGCGGCTGCCGGCCTGGCACGGCCCCGGCCCGGGTCTCCGACAGATCCGGAGCCGAGACCGGCGGCCGCCCGCCCCGGGCCCGGGAAGCGAGAGGAAGTGGGGCTGGGGGGGTGGTGAGAGCCCCAGGACTGACCGCCCAGGACTGACCGCCCCCTCTGCTCTCCCCGCAGCTGAAGGCCGATGTGGTCCCGAAGACGGCAGGTGAGACCGCCCGGGCCCCGCGTCCACACGGGGGGGCGGGGGGAGGTCGGGCCGCAGGGGTTGGGGTCGCTCGCGGACCCCCGGGCTGGAGGGGCCTGGAGGAAGCCCGCACTGACCCCCCGTCCCTGCAGAGAACTTCCGAGCCCTGTGCACGGGCGAGAAGGGCTTCGGCTACAAGGGCTCCACCTTCCACCGGGTCATCCCGTCCTTCATGTGCCAGGTAGGCGCGCGGGCGGGCGGACAGGGCGCGGGCCGGCTGGTCTGGAACCCGGCGGGGGGTGTGCAAGGACGGACGCTTAGCCCAGCTGAGCCCAGCTGAGCCGGGGGCTGGGGCTGCCCTCAGGCCACCTGGGGCGTCAGTGGGCCCTTGGCTTCTCCAGTTCCCTAGGGCATCTGGGGGTGCCAGACCTGGGTGCTGGCATGGGCAGCTCTGAGCACAGCCTCTGCGCTGGTCGGAAGCACCCCGGGACTAGCGTGGGGGGCAGGCGCCCCGGTCGTGCTTGCTTGGGACGCGCAGAGTTATCCTTGAAGGGCCTTCAGAATCGTTTGGGCACATGGACGGGATGGACAGTGATGGGATGAAGGACACAGGCCCAGAGAAACCAGGACAGTATTGAGACAGTATCCATGACGACAAGTCTTGGCTGAGGGTCACAAAACTGAGAGGACTTGGGGCAGGGAGAGATGGGGACAGCGAGAGTTACAGGACAGTGGCGGGCACTGTGACCGCAGGACCACTGGGCCTGAGACAGGACTGAGTACTCACCTTGCTGAGACCCCAGACCAAGACTCAGCACCAGCAGGAGTGTTCCCTGGGCACTCGTGGGTGGCGCCTAGCCCCCACCCCCAACTGTTGTAAATAGTTGTGACCTATAGTTAAACCAGATGTCACCTGCAGAGACAAAGCAGGCGTGACACTGCTGATCTTCCTTAGGTTGGGGGCGGGGGGGGGGGGTGTCTGACCCTGTGGGGGCCAGCCCCAGGGCCAGGGCTCAGGGCTTCTGCTCTCACAGGCCGGAGACTTCACCAACCACAACGGCACTGGGGGCAAGTCCATCTACGGAAGCCGCTTCCCCGATGAGAACTTCAAGCTCAAGCACGAGGGCCCAGGTGCGTGGGGCAGGGGTGGCCCCTGGGTCCCAGGAACAGCCCCTGGGCGCCTGGGCCCGACTGGCTCCAGCCTCGTGTGTGCGCCCTGGTGACCCTGAGCACTGCTGGGAGCATCCCAGATGAACAGACACCCGACACATGCTCACCTGGGAATTTGGGGGAGGACCTCGAGGGAAAGCCCCACATTCTGTCCTCTTCAGAGCCCGTGGGGGGCACCCGAGGCAGGGCTGGGCTGGGCTGGGGGACCTGACTCCCCACCTCCTCGGCAGGTGTCCTGTCCATGGCAAACGCGGGCCCCAACACCAACGGCTCCCAGTTCTTCATCTGCACCATCAAGACAGACTGGTGAGCCCCTCGTCGCAGTGGGGGAGAGAGGGGGTGCCCTCTCCTGGGCGGGGCTCCGTGAGAGTGGGGTGTGCAGCTGGCCGTGACGCTGGCTCTGGGTTTCTGTTCTCCTGTCCCTCTCTGGCTCTTCCTCCCTTTTTCCTTTCTTTCTTTTTACTTTTTGGGTCACATCTGGCGATGCACGGGGGTTACTTCTGGCTCTGCACTCAGGAATTACTCCTGGCGGTGCTTGGGGGACCTTCTGGGATGCTGGGAATCAAACCCGGGTTGGCCGCGTGCAAGGCAAACGCCCTCCCCGCTGTACTATCGATCCAGCCCCACTTTGTTTGTTTGTTTTTTGGATCACACCCAGTGGTGCTCAGGGGTCACTCCTGGCTCTGCACTCAGGAATCACTCTTTGCGGTGCTTGGGGTCCATGTGGGGTGCTGGGAATTGAGCCTAGGTCGGCTGTATGCAAGGCAAACGCCCTCCCCGCTGTATATCGCTTGGGTCCCCCTCCCTTTTTTCTTGGGGGGAGTCTCACTCCTGGCTCTGCTCTGCTCAGGCTCAGGCTGGTGGTGCTGGGATTCGACCTGGGCTTGCTGCCGCCCTAAGGTCTAGAGACCTTGTCTGCTTGGGAGAAGTGCGCGTGCCACTGCGTGGCATGTGGCCGTTGGTTTCGGACAGGCCGGGGGCCATTCTGTCCTCTGACTTGCCCCTGCCTGAAATCTGTCCGGAACCCTGCTTGGCAGGGCTCACCGCGTCTGAGCTGGCCCAGTGGGTGCCCAGAAACGCAGAGTTTGGGGACTGGGTGTGGGGGCGGGGGAGGCCGGTCCTGGTCCCCAAGGGAGTGCCTTTCCGATTCGCTGGCCTTGGGGCTTCCATGGCCCCAGCGCCAGGGCACTGGGGGGTAGTGCCGACTGTCTCCGCCCGTCCCCGCAGGCTGGACGGCAAGCACGTCGTGTTCGGGCATGTCAAGGAGGGGATGGAGGTCGTGCGGAAGATAGAGGCTCTGGGCTCCAAGAGTGGGAAGCCGTCCAAGAAGATCGTCATCACAGACTGTGGCGAGCTGAGCTGACCGTGGCCCAGCGCTGCAGGCCACACGGCACACGCGAGTGACTCACCTGGTGACTGTCCCGGCCGCCCATCCCGGCATCCTGGGCACCTCCTCAGTGTGCCCAGAAGCGCCCACAGGAACACGCCCCTGCTTGGCCCGTGGCTGGGCTCCAGCGGTCAGTCGTGGCCGACTGGTCACCTGCTTAGCGGGCAGAGCTGCGGGCAGTGCGCGCTCAGCTGTGCGCGGGCGCTGGCTGGGGCGGGCTCGGCCTTTTCTGTGGCTGCAAGGGGAAGCCGGTGTGGCCCGGGCTGCCTTCACGGCAGTTTCCGTGGCAGGGTCCATGCAGCCAGGAGCTGAGGCCCCGACTGTGAATCTGTCGCTGTGAGCCCAGGGCTGCTGTGCATTTCCTGGCATGCTGGCATTGTTTTTGTTTTGATAAAATTGATTCACTGATTACACATATATCCGTACGTATGTACACCCATACCTATGTGTATATGCTGCCCTGTGGAGCAGTAACTGCCCGCCTACAATGTGAAATAAATCTATTTTCTGTGACAAACCCTGCTTTGAAGATCTGTAGTTGGGGGTTTGGAGCCAGCCGTGACGGTGTGAGCCCACCCTTTACCTGTCCAGGGTCACTTTGACGAGGCCTGTCATTTCTGTGAGGGGGTCGCTGTCCTTCAACCCCAGAGGCGGCTGGCCCACACCTTAGAGTGTCGTGTGCTGTCCACGCCCCTTGGTGGCCCCAAGTCTGTTTTCCTTCCTGTATCCTGGTAGCACTGGGCTGACTACAGACAGAGCTCTGGAACCTTCTGGCGAGCTGCTGAAGGCTGTATTCAGTGGGCGTGAGGGCCGGGCCAGACAGTCATTGGTTTTAGAGGAAGGTCTGCAGCCTGTGGCGAGGGGTGGACTTGGCGGTTCCAGATGTGCCATTGAAATTGGCAGTTCATTTTTAGGTGTGTGAATCGGCAGGTTTGGGGTGGGGGATAAGCAGGGGCTGGAGCTATAACACAGCGGGTAGGGCGTTGCATGCAGCCGACCCGGGTTCGATTCCCAGCATGCCATATGGTCCCCCGAGCACCGCCAGGGGTGATTCCTGAGTGCATGAGCCAGGAGTAACCCCTGTGCAACGCCGGGTATGACCCAAAAAGAAAAAAGACCCTCTAAGCAGACGGACCGGGCCGGCAGTTAGGACATCTGCATCTGTCAGAGTCCCCGATCAGGTGACTGGTCTTCTGCTGCCCCAGCGAGCGTGCTCACAGAAGCCTGAGTCGAGCGGTGCAGACCGCCGGCCTCTTGGCTCAGCAGCTGGGGTCCGTGCTGCCCGACTCCCCCCGTTGCCGCGTTTTCCCCGAGGGGCTCGCAAGGGACAGTGTTGGGAGACCTGAGCTGAGTCAGTGATGGAAAGAATTAATTACTGTTCGCCAAGTAAGTCCGTTTTATAGATGGGTAAACCCTGGGGTCCTGCTGGCCCAAAGGGGGCGTGTGAGTCAGCAAGTAGAGCAGGACCCCTGCCCATTCGCAGGGGCCGGAACGTGACCTTCAGCCTCATAGCTTCCTCTGGACTCTGCAGCCCTCCACAGCTGCTGCGCAGCGAAGGGGCCCTTGTTCCGGCGGGCTCGGCTCTCTGAAACAGCCATGTCCCTGACCGTCTCCACCTGGGGAAAGTGGCTCCCAGCCCTTCCAGGCAGCCGCTGGATTCTGTCACAATAGAATTACGAGGCCTGTGGGGTCTTGTTTGCATTTAAATTTTAATCACACTGGGGAACTTGAGGTCTCTGGCTTCTTCAGTGAAGTGGGAGAAAGCTTGGGAGAATTTTAACTCCCTCGGAGCTCCAGGGCATTTTCTTTGGGGGAAAGGCATGTGTGGGGCCGGAGCAGGTGACCAGATGGCGGGACGGCACTGGCCTTGGCACCTGTGTCCTGGGCTTCGTCCCGGCACCACACAGGGTCCCCTGAGCACCACCTGGAGTGATCCTGGAGCACAGAGCCAGGAGTAAGCCCTGAGCACTGCAGGTGTGGCCCCAAACCCCCCAAAATAGGAAAAAAAATAAGGAGAAAAGAATGGAAAATGAAAGGAAGGGGAAAGAAGGAAGGAAGGGGAGCGTCATAGTGGGGTGGGGGTGGGGAGGAGAGCCAGAGAAGGGCAGGGTCGGGATGTGCCACAGCAGTGCCTTTGGGGTCCGGGGCTGGGGTGGGGGAGCTGGGGGGGGGCGTGCAGAAGCCTTGTACCCAGTGGACCCATACTCAACCCCTGGCACCTTACATGGGCCCCAAAGCCCAGCCAGGAGTGCTCTGAGTACAGAGCCAGGACCATGGGTCCACTGGCTACAAGGCGACCCCTGCGGCCTGCGGAGTGCCTCAGGGTGAGCTGTGGGACCGGGGATCTGAGAATCTGAGTGTGAGCCAGGTGGGTGGGAACATGGTCAGACTCCACCCCCCCTCCCCACAAGGCTGGAGGGGGCACTCCAGAGGGCCCCCGTCAGGCCTGCCTCTCCACCTCCTCCCCTGGAAGAAACTTTTTTTTTTTTTTTTTGCTTTTTGGGTCACACCTGGCGATGCACAGGAGTTACTCCTGATTCATGCACTCAGGAATTACTCCTGGCGGTGCTCGGGGGCCCATATGGGATGCTGGGACTCGAACCTGGGTTGGCTGCGTGCAAGGCAAACACCCTACCCGCTGTGCTATTGCTCCAGCCCCAGAAACTTTAATTTTAATTCAGTCGTTGTTGTTCATAACACTGCTGATAACAGTGTTGACTTTTGGGAGGGTGGGGAGCACACCAGCAGGTCAGGGCTGACTCCTGGCTCTGTGCTCAGAGCACTCCTGGCTGGGCTTTGGGGGCATATAAGGTACCGGGGCTTGATCATGGGTCCACTGGGTAAAAGGAAAGTGCCAGGAGCAAAAATAATTTTTTCCCTTTTTGGTGGGGGGGGCACACCCAGTGGTGCTCAGGAGTCACTCCCGGAGGTGCTCTGGGGGCCTTATGGGAGGCCGGGGATGTAACCCGGGCCAGCTGTGTGCAAAACAAACACTCTCCCCACTGTGCTGTTGCTCTGGCCCAAGAAGCAAAATTAGTCCAGCGGGGCGTGGGGAATGCACCCTTCGGCTCCGGGAAATCGAGCCTCACCGTGGCTGGGGCAAGAGCGAGTAAGCAACCACCAGAGGAGGGGGTACAGGAACCCGGCAGGTCCCGGTGCTCTGCAGAGACCAGCTGGGAAGGACAGAGGTGAGAGCAGAGTGGGAGGACAGGAAGCCCCTGGCCCCTGGGGGCACTGCTAGGCAGGAAGTGGAGCATGGCCCAGAGATGTGGGAATTCTGGCTCCGCTTCTGCAGGGGCTGGCTCGGGAATCAGCTCCCGGGAGTTCTGCGGGACGGGACGGAAAGGCAGCACAGACAAAACCCAGCTTAGCTGCTGACAAGACAGACTCAAGCCTTGAGCGAAGCAGAGACGAGTGATTGCACGCGGACTCCCGCGGCTGGCAGTGCCTCTCGCTTCTGGGCTAGGAAGCGGGAGAAGGGAGGAAGAGGCACACGGGACTGGACGACAGTGACAGTTGTGACCCTCAAGGGACCGCTGGGGAGGGGGAACAGCGGACACGAATAGATGGGGGGATTTGAGCAGAGAACTGATTAGAGGCGTTGGAGTGATAGCACAGCAGGGAAGGGCACTGGCCTTGCACGGGGCACCATCGGGAGGGATTCCTGAGTGCAGAGCCAGGGGTAACTGCTGAGCATCGCCAGGTGTGTCCCCTCCGCCCCCCCCCCCCAAAGGAATAAGACAACCTCCCCGAGAGGATCAGTGAAAAATTATACCTAAACTAGACCTCACCAAAATTAACGTTTTCAACGTGGGTGCTCCAAAAAAGCCCAGTAAGAAAGACAACCCAGGAGCTGGAGTGGACAGGGCACCTGCCTTTCAGGCAGCCCACCTGAGTTTGATCCCCCAACCCCGTGTGGACCCCGTGCCTGCCCAGTGTGGTCCCTGAGCACAGAGCAGGAGAAGGCCCTGAGCACTGCCAAGTTTGGCCTGCAAACAAACAAAGTTCCGAATAAGCAAAATCCTTGACAACTTTGTTTTTTTAAATGCTGTGAGTTCATTTTCTGGACTTATTTTGTTTTTTGCTTTTTGGGTCACACCTGGCAATGCACAGGGGTTACTCCTGGCTCTGCACTCAGGAATTACCCTCAGCGGTGCTCAGGGGACCATATAGGATGGTGGGAATCGAACCCAGGTCGGCCGCGTACAAGGCAAACATCCTACCCGCTGTGCTATCACTACAGCCCCAGCAACTTTTTTTTTTTAAGCCCATTTAAGACTTTTAGGAATTGTCCTGAGGAGAGAGCAGTAAAGAGACATTTATTCAGGAAAATCCGCCAACCGAAACAAACTTAACCAAAATGACTGAGTATAGCGGGTGGGGTGTTTGATCTTTGCAGTCAGCCTGGATTGCATTCCTAAGCACCACGTCTGGGCCCCTGAGCCCCACCAGGAGTGAGTCCTGAGCGCAGAGTCAGGAGTCAGCCCTGAGCACCACTGGGTGTGGTCCCGACACTGGGAGGTGTGCCCAGGGCTGTACCTACGCATCTGTAACTAGCTCACAGCCTCACTGTCCAGAGTAGTAGAAGACTCTAGAGGGGAAATGGGGACACTTTATAATACATATTTTATTCTACCACCATCACTATCACCCCGTTGTTCATCAGTTCGCTCGAGCGGGCCCAGTAACGTCTCCATTCATCCCTGTCACGTGCTAGTGTAGCCCGATGACATACTGGGGTCTCCTTCAGGGTCAGGGGAATGAGGACCATTCATTGTTACTGTTTCTGACATATTGAGTACGCCACAGTTAGCTTGTCAGGCTCTTCCGTGAGGGCGGGATACTCTCCGTAGCTTGCCGGGCTCTCTGAGAGGGATGGAAGCTTTGGGGCAGCCTCTAATCACCTTTACAGGTGTTCCCAGTTAGGCATATATGTGGACAGGAGACTCTCAGTAGCCTGCTGGGTTCTCTGAGAGTGAGAACTAAAAAAATAAGAGGTCCATCCGGGAGCTTGGTGTTATAGTCTCTGATCTTGGCCGTTGATGGGGTTACAGGGCAGTTGGTGGGTGTAACTGTCTAGCTACTGGAAGGTGGGGGAGCTGGGTGGAGGAGGCCCAGTCCCGAATCGAGCAGGCTTGGAGATCTCAGCCCCGGGTCCCTCACACCTGGGTTCTTCTGCCAGTTCCTTGTCCAAGCATGTGGAGAGTGATCTCAGCATGGCTTTGGCTGGGTCCTGGAGGTCTTCAACTGTTGGGGCTCTGCTCGGGGCAGAGAGGGAAACTCAGCCTGCCCTCCTCCAAGGGGCCCTGGTGAGGACAGCCAGGTGCGGGGGCAGGAGACTTTGCCTTGTTCTCTTCCAGGAGCTTGGTTTTAGTCTCTGGATCCTGGCCATTGATGGGGTTACATGGCAGTTGGTGGGTGTAACTGTCTAGCTACTGGAAGGTGGGGGAGCTATTTTATTATTTAAAAAAATTTTCGTTTTGCTTTTTGGGTCACACCCAGCAATGCTCA